AGACCACTTCGAATTATTTTATTCGATTAAGCTAACGTGCCTATCACGTTGAGGTTGGCTACGCCGGGATTCGTTTTCAGCAAGTAGATATCCACACAAGTGGACCTTATTGGAGCGTACGTAATCCTAAAATGTAGCATCGTGCTACAGATGGCGTTTACTGCGCCATTTGTAGTATTTTCTAATACTTATTTATTGGTTTAACAATAAAATTATTCCAGCATATAGGTACAGCATTGATTGACCAATACTGAGAGCCTAGTAATGGACATGAAGCTTGGCGAAACGTTGATGTACGGAACCTTGGTCGGGCGTTGGTCCAGCATTAAGAAACCTATAATTGGCTGTCCAGTACTGGATTAGACTTGACCACTTGACGAAACGTTAATGTTCCTGATCTTGGCACTTGAAGATTGACCGAAAATTGGTCCAATATTGACAAACGATTGCATAATTTCACACTACAAGTTTACTGTCAACACTGGTATTTCCTGCATGGGCAGAACTAACACCCCTTAGATTATATTACTTTTGCTTGAAAATAGAGATGGCAGGGTACGCGGTCTGGATCCGACACTTTTTTTAGGATCCGGCCGGAGTATCTCTACTTGAAAACAATCACCATCCAATCGCTTATCTTGTAAGTAACTGACGATAAGCTTAAAATTTTGAACTAAGGTTATCATAAATTTACAGAAATTTCTGGATTATTTCGGTATCAAACATCTGGCGAACGTATATGGTTAACACCTATTTACTTCCAAGTTAGCGGTAAAGTTACTGGTCAATTAGCGAACAGTTGAAAATAAGGTTTTCGAGAATTATGCTTCCGTTTCAGTGTGGATAAGTGTGCACTGTGCTTTCATGTACGTGTACGGTTCAGTGTGGTAGTTTTATCGTTTTTAACGTGCACCTGCTGAATGCGACCTCAATTAAGCCGCCCACCCGCCATGTGTTTTCGCGTGCCTGCACTGGACATTGCTTCCAAAACAATCGGTCGGAATGTTAAACTGTAGTAGAATGGCTGGCAACGGAATTACTTCTAGCGTCAGGCTTTTGTCGTAATTTGCGTTAATTTTGACCACTTTTTCGTTAAACTTCTTGTCAAAGCCATTTGTAAAAAGACTGGTTGGGTGTGCAATCTGCAGTCACCGGTTACGTTTAATTTCAATTGAACGAACCAAAAGAAGTGGGGAGACCGGGGATGGTTGACTAGTTTTTTACTGAATAGTTCATATTTTTTGTGTTTTAATTAATATAGACAAGAAAAGCATGTTAATTGATAGAAAATCTATTTTAGTATAATAGTGATGATTTAATGCATTTTACAAAATGTTAAATCTTAGTCAATCTACCCCTGGCCCAGGGTAGGTAGACCATATGCCCGGGGTAAGTTGACTCATGTACCAGTAAGAGTCAAATCATGAGAAGGAGCAAATAATTAAACATTTTTTAATATAATTGAACCTTTTGTTAAAAAATAAACAGGCTAAAGTTTCCTCTTCTAGATTAGTAAAATTTGTCAATTTTTTATATATTCCACTGTGTCCGGGGTTAATTCTGCTCGCGTCAATTTCGGATTCTGTTCTAATTTTTTTCTAATTTGGCCACGTAACGATTTAAAAGTCCAATAAAAAGTTAATTTATGTGTTGTTTTCAACTACATATTTCATTGGGGTTGGTTGAATAATTATTCAACCAGCCCCGAAAAAAATTGGTCTACCAACCCCAGACGCCATTTTTAATTTTGATCGCATGGCTAGCCTAAACACTGCCGTTGACTTGAAAAATAAGATATGATATATGATAAATGTGCCCTCATTAAATGCTAGGACTAATAGAAAAATTATTTACATAAAACGAGTAGGCATCAGATCAAAAAATACAATATATCAAAATATTACTTATGTAATTGGAATATGAAAAACATGTCAGTGTTCGAAAACAACGCACGACCGCGATGTGACGCTTCAGACAACTGAGCGGGACGCGAAATGTAATGCTTGGTTATGATCAGATGACATAGTTCATACACTGTCGACGAGTTTTCGGTAGTTAGTCTACCTACCCCTATAGTCAACTATCCCCGGTCTCCCCTAAATTGCAGAGTAATAATTTAGTTCTTTTCCGTAAATATTTCCCGAAAAGAAAAAAAACTTTAGGATTTCATTCCCACCACTAATGCTGGTGGACGGGCAGTCCCTCCGGACTACATCGGAAGGTAGGGCGGAAGGCTCTTTCCAGCCCCTTCGGATGAGAAATATGAGACGGATGAAATGAAGACAGAAGAGAATGAAAGATAATCTGTGGAATATTACTGCCCCAACATTTGCGTAGAAAATCACAGGAAAACTTGGACCACTTCTTCTCTTATCGATCGATATCGTGTTCTTGGCTTTCTTCCCTTTCCTTTTCCTTCTTTTTTTGTCAGAAGTTTCCGATCAAAACCTAATCGTATGCCCATTAAGGCAGTCCGTACACATCGATCTGACATCGTGTACCTTTCTCTAGGTGAACGGAATTTATCATATAATGGAATAGTAAAACTAATTTTGTTTAATATTCACATGCTTCGCAATTGCTTATTCATCACATATTTTTTGAACATTAATTCAATATTTCGCTACTTCATGAAAGTCAACCTTTATATTGATGCTATTAATTTTTGGATAGGTATACTTAAATAATTTTTCAAAGGAAGGCATCAAACAATTTTGGGACAATTTCGAAGGAGGGTTTTTTTATTTTTAAAGTACAAGAAGTAAAAACACATCAGTTAGCTAGGTGGAATTCTGCTCAACGACTGGTCTCATCACCTATGAAGGGGTGGTATTTTGAAAAATCATGTTATAGCAGCAGTTATACAAGCGTTGTGTAGAATTATCAGCTTTTAGACTCAGCGGTTTGGTCTATGCCTTGATCGGTACTTTAAACATTGATCCTCCTTTTCAACCCCTTTAGAGGTTGAATATTACATCGATTTATTGTTAGTGCCTGCCTACATTGTATGAGGAACGTCTAAGAAAGATTCTAGACTAGACGGTTTGGCTTGTGCCTTGATCGAAACAACAGACTTTGAACCCCTCTTTTCAACCCCTTTAGAGCCCTCTAAACGTTGAATTCCTTTTTCGATCCTTTTAAAGGTCAAAGTTTAAAAATTTTTTTTTTAGTGCCTGCCTACATTGTAGGGATTTGAGCTACGGTACTGTGTGTCTTTGAAACTTTCGGAGTGCTATTGTCTTCAAATTTCAATTTCATCAATCATTCACTAACGTAGACGTATCGTTTCTTTTTAATAGTATTTTCAATAAAGAGTCGAAACAGTATTTTTCTGGAGTAACATGATTTACATCAGTAGTGTTTATTTAGTTTACATTTGCATTCGTAACAGCGTTTCTTAAAATCTGGTTCAGTTCACATCCAATGTAAACATTAAAAATTTACAAACGAACGAAGAATCAGATTATTTTTATTTTTAAATATTTACTTTGTTGTAGGTTCCACATTCAATTGAATATTGCTTTAATTGACTTTTACCAACGTTCAATATAAGGAGGATAGTAGGAACGTGTGTTTTTAAACAGTTATTTGTGAAAGTTTTCTCAACTGTGCTGTTCGAAGTTGGGATCTACAATTTGCATGTTAAAGCAGAATGCGAGAAGTATCAGCTAGGTACTTGGCCGTGGGTTACTCCTTAATTATTACGTATTTGCTATTACCTTAGTTGTATTTCAGGATAAATAACTTATTGGCATTCCTTTGTATGCTCATAGAGCTGTTTGGGGATGTTTCTGAAAATGTATTAGTAATGGTATTAACGCAATGATCCTCAAAGTGTGCGCCCCAAAAATTTAGAAATCGCATCGCGGAAAACTCCGATTATTTAGGGAACTGCAAACCAAAAGAGAACATCTGTATTAACGATTTGGAATAACACGAATGATTTAATGTCCTAGCTAAGATTCTCTAAAGATCCTAGCCACAGCAACCGGCGAACCGTTAGATAAACTAAAAATATAAAGAACCCATGCTGTCATGATTCGAGTCTAATTCAGAAGAATTTTTTGGTATTTATTGATATTGACTATCTTAATAAATGGTTTGATTTTGCTGAAAGAAATTGGTTATTCAAAATCTAAAAATAGGAGGTTGCTACTCTCTATTCCCGCCAGTTTGGCATTCACAAAAAGGACATTTTCGGTTATGAATTCGAAAAGGTGAGAAGAATGAAACAGAAGTAGTATCTCATTAATACATAATGAGCTTTTGGTTTACATTAATTTAAAAATTAAATGTAACAAAGTTTACGACATTATTCTTCTACAGAGATTCTTCCATCTTCAATGCTGGATGTGGACTCTATTTCAGTGAAAGGATCTCTGAAGAAGTTCGCCACTTGTTCTGGCGAAACGTTAGAAAGCAACTGTAACCAACGACGGCTTTTAGACCCGAATCAAACCAGCATCAGGCCACGAATGTCTTTACCAATTTACCAAAAGGACCCAATACATTTTCTGTAAGTAATATTTATTTTTGATGACGTCATTGTTGTCAGTTTTTAGCTCAAGACATTCTTTTATATAACTTATATGATTATAAATAACAGTATGATTTTATGATGAAAGATTTGGTTGAAAATAAAAATTGCAGAAAGACTGGTTGGTCCTCCAGTATGCAGGAGTTGCAATATTTCTAAGAATTATTCAGTTCATGTAGATGCAGCCGTATATTATGTTGGATAATTCTGGAAAAGCGCCATGGATTATGGGATATGCGGTTCAAAGATGGTCTCAAGCACGTGAGAGCGACCTACAGCCTGCGATGATGGCATTTTTGTACTATAAATACCATGCTTATAAATGTAATCCTGAATTATGACGGGAGAAAGAAAAATAACCTGGTTCTTGTCCCGGAAAATTTGTTACCTTATTCACTGTCTACAAAACTTGGACAATTTTCTTTTCTTCCGATGAAAAACGATGTGCTCCGCTCCTTATTTTCGCGTGCGACGAAAGGTCAAACTTGCCTACTACGAAACCCTAACAACCGGATCCAAATGTGAGTTATGGAATACGTTGGAAAAACAGGCAACTAATAGATTTCAGAGCGACAGTTACCATACACTTAATAGCTACAAAACTATCCTGGAATTACAGAAACTAAGATAATGCGCCAATCGTAAATTTAATTTCTCACAATGCTTGACTGTTTTATTAATAGAATTACTGTATCATTATGTTTAACATATAAGTTAATTGTTGCATAAAATAAAAATGTCATGTTTTTATCTTTATTAAATATATAAAATAGGGATGCACTTCTTTTCAATAGAAAAGAAAATAAAACAGAAAAAACAGCAGGCGCCTACCTAAGGGTGTTATTGGGTTAAAACCCCTCCAAAATTAAAAGAATGCCCTAAGCAAGAAGTGATAACACCATAATAGAAAGAAGTGGTAGTTAAAGGTCAAAGGATTTATTTAGACATGAGAAAGTTACTATAACAAGTAAAATTTATTTTTAGAAATATGTAGAGGGTAGTGACAGCAAGGAATGGTAGTTTTGTAAGGGATATGGTTGAGGTTATGGTTAGAACCGACCCAAGCATTCTTGTTTGGACGATTGGAAATAAAGGAGAGATATTTTGACAAGACTGTGAATAAAAAAAAATGGATAAGTCTAATTAAAAACAGACACACTGATGTGTTCTAGAAATTTTTAACATTTTATGAAAAATAAATTTACCGTTAGATAATATTTAGATCCAGTTTCATCATCATCATCATAAGGTCGTCAGTCCTAAAAGACTGGTTGAACACGCACCTCCACTCCTTCCTATCCTGAGATAAACTTCGCATTTCCCTAAAACTAGAACAACCCATATCCTTAATTATTTGTCCAGTTTATATAAACATAATTAAATTAAAAATTAGGGCACCCCTAACAAAAATCCTGCGCATGCCCCTGAAAAAGAGTGTGCTCGGTATGTTACAACTAGATTTCCTTAATAACTACATTAGAAAAAAAATTCAACAATCTTCGTGTGCTATGCTCAAAGTATCTTGGAAATGTCAAGCAGTATTTTTAGAATACCTTTAGAAAAAAGTGATCAAAATATTAGAATAGTTTGAGACTTCAATTTCCACGTTACAAAACACACAAAAAGAAGAATATACTCGGAGAAAACTAAATTTATATGACAACGCAAAAATTACAATTTTCGATTGTAAATGACTGAATTTGCCGTAGAAATCTAGAATTTATTAGGTAACTTGTAATAATCCCAATTTTGATTTTTTAATTATTACAATTTAATTTGTAATATCAACTAAAATACCTAATGCTGGGATTTTATTTTTACAAATTCAGGTCTAAATTGTAATTATTATTATTTTCGCTTACGAAACAACGGGCTTTTGGGATAAATTGTAAATATCGGTTTAATATTTCGGTAAATTTTCCCTTTTCATTTTCTCCGTGTACTTACTTTGAGACAATAAAAACTTGTTACTTATTTTTTCGCTTTTATTACACAAAAACCCATTCATCTTGAAACGTTTTTAATAAACGAATTGTCGTCAAATCAGAAAAGTAATTCATAATCGCCTATTCTTCCAATCCAATTCCTAGAAAAACTTTTGTTACTCCAAACTTCTTTGCGGTACTTAATATTAAAAATAGTTATTTGGTGACAGGAAGCCTTTTCTGTCATTCCTCCAAGGCATCTAAATTTTATGTGAAAATATAATCTGGTCGTGTTCAAAGTTTCATGGCCACAACGGGAACGTATTTCTTTCAATTCACCGATTCCACTGAAACCGTCCCTTATACGTATCTGTATTAGTGTTGTCGTGGGGGTCTGAAGAAGGGAGGTAGGTGCAATAGCGTCGGGAGCGACGTCGCATCGCTAAGGGTAAAATACGGGTAGCAGCGTCATCGCTAAGACACGGGATTAGGAAAGATATAGGACTTCTTTGTCTAGGAAGTATAAACAATGATTCAAGCCTGGGATTACGGTGTCAACGCGTAATAGATAAATGGACAATAATTATTATGAATTGCCGTAGAGCGAAGGGAGGCACCGATAAATTGCACCGGCTGGTGACAGACAGTTATCTTGTTTATTCTCCCGCTATTCCTATAAGTATATATTTTCCCCACCGCGTGCCACTATGGAAGCTGATGCTGTCGCTAGGTATATCGTTTCGCTAATAATAGGTACTATGTATCAGACGCCTTGCAACCTCCACCTTAATATTCAACGTCGAGAATCTCAAATTATGGCGAATATTCGTCACAAGCTTTTAAACAGTTAAATCCGACTTCTGGCATGGCAGTTTCTTCATCCCAACATGTACAGGATGTTTCAAAGTTCATTGTAAAGGTGTAGTTTCAGGTGATCTTGTTCTGAATAAAATCTTATTTATCAATTGTACATTTATTCTTTTTTTACAGAGTAATATGCCAGAGTTGAGAGGTATCTATAGAAACTTTTTATAGGGAAGGCTGCAGTGTCAATACTATTGGCATAGAAAGTAAAAATGAAGGAGGATCCATGATCAACAAAATGAGAACATTTCTGTTACCTCTGTTTTTTACAAATAGGGAGCTAGCTTTTGGAAACCAATAAATTGTTAGTTCCTTACATGGAAGGAGCAGTAGAGATAAAAAAGAAAAGGTTTGGAAGCGTTCGAAATGTGGTGTTATAAGTGAATGATGAAGATGTCGTGGACAGAGGTTAGAAATGCAAGTGAATAAGAAATAGACAAGCTAGGTTGGTAGGGCACCAATTAGATAGGAAGGGCTAGTTAGAGACACATGATAACAAGAGTTAAGAAGGATTCAGATTACTGGTAAGGATGTTCTAGTTTTAAGGTAATGCGAAGGTTAGTTCAGAATAGGAAAAAATGGAGGTGGTGTCCAACCAGTCTTACGGTTGATGACCTTATGATGATGATGGATGATGGTTGATAATTCTTAAGGTCAAAAGAGGTAGCATGTTCTGTTAGGTGTGTTAGGTTTATTTAGCAGTTTGATAAGCGCTTTTCTTTTTGACCTTATCAATGTATGCAGTATTTAATAGGTTGTAAAGGTTAACAACTATTATTGTCGTTAACGACAATGCAAATATCATTACAGAATTACTTAAAGACGTCAACCTGTGAGTTGACAAAACCTTGTATTTAATGTAAATACCACTGTCAACTTTTGTATACCCAATCACCGTGAAGAGACCCATGTATCTACTGTTATTTTTGTATTTTATTGAGATTGCATAATGGGTTACATAATTGTAGTTAATGGTTGAGTTTTTATTACGTTATTTCATTCATCATCCTTATTAATAAAGTTTTTCACAGCTGGTTCGTCACCGTGAATCATCGTATGGCTAAAGTAATTTTTAATAACAGAAAGGTTTTATTTAGATATTCTATTACATATTCACGAATAATTTTGTGTAAGTATTAAATTCCATGAAAATTCACTTTTGGTCTGATGAAGTACGTAAATCGTCCGTTTCTAATTTGAAAAGTCAAGTTAATTTCATATTTCATTTGTGAAGTTTTGTGAAGTTGTTAAAATGTAAAGTCCTATTTCAGCTAATAGCATTTTGACGGATGGTATAATAAGAGGGAGTTTAAATAGGATCGTCACATCTCCTCCCGTACCGTCAGCAATTTAGTATGATTGAGTTGAGTTTTGTGCTTACAATTAGACTTAAACTAAACTCAAGGAGTAAACGGATCAAAAACGGGAATTTTAAAAACTGCTCGAGGTAACGAACGAAACAGAATTTTCTTTCTACTTTCAGTCTTTATGTGCGATGAAATAACATTAAACAGTTTACAAAGAATAGCGCAATCTTTTATGAAAATGCAAATTTCAACCACCTTCTTGAAGTAAAATTTAGTTACTAAAGGCTGCTTTCGGCCAACAGTTTAATATTGTAAACTAAACAAAGCATTATTTTTATCTATCAAGTGGAATAATGTTTTAAAGTGCATCGCATTTTTATATCAATAATAATAGTAAGGACTGCTTCTTTAGATTGTGATGATGATAATAAATAGAAATACTTATTACAATCCATTAATTAAGCAGAATCCATTGTTTTTAGTGTGAAAAACAACAAAAAAAAGCAGTCAAAGATAATATGGCCGATTATAAAATTAAAAATAAAAAAAGAACAATGGTTTAAGTAAATATCAAATCGTTAATTATCTACTTGCTATAATTCAAACACAACTGATAAGTTGATGATTTGTTAAATATTGTACATAATAATTCCAATGAAAAAAAGCAACGCGTGAACGCCTAAAGTAATAATAACAATATAGGTTGAAGAACGTCGAGAATTAGATATTAATTATTCTTTATGTTCCTCCGTATTCTCAAAATGAACGTAAACGTTTGGTATTGTATATTTTTGCGTACACAATAAGCCGACGTACAGGTACAATGTGCATGCGATATTACCCGTTCGCTGTTGTTCGGCTAGAGTGAACCCACCTTTAGAATAACATGTAACTGACTGAAGTTAAACTAAGTACTTGTAATTTACTCGCAAGAAATCGAGCTGTATGTCATCTTACAATTACCAGTGATAGTGCTTCCTTAATCTGGGAGCAAAGCATTAGAAATGAACAAATTAATGTCTTAATAACAGAATTCATATCTCGTATGAGAGTAAAACCAATCAATTAAAGTACAAAGGGGGCTGTGATACTATACGCTTCACGGAAGCAGATGTAGCAATTGTGCAAATCTATTACGGTATTGAAGCAGTAATTAGTTACTGCAAGACTGTGTAGGTATACTGAGAATTGTAAGAATGACTGATTTCATATTAGTTAATTATTTACCTACTGTACGGGGTTGCAGCATACACAAATGTTTCAACCAGTATAACAAATTGAAAATAAGTCTGGAGAAATATCGAACACAATAGCAGACTCCAAACATTTCCCATTTACAGTGTTGGATTTAATAATTGAAAGTGCCATAATATATAATAACATCAGAAGTCAGCTCCACTACTCACACACAATGGTTCTCGAACATTGCAGAATGTTCCAGTCTAGTTTATTTGGAACATACCAGAGGACAACCCTAGACATTCGAGAACATTCTAGTTGTGAGTAACGCTAGAAACATTCAAGAACATTCTAGCACATTCTCAATTATTCTAAACTGGTGTCTGGTAGCTGCTGGATGATCCGCGAACCCACTCGCCCACTAAAGTGCAGATATTTCGAAGATTATAATAGATTCTAATCATTTTTTGTCG